ATAGCATGCCATTGTCTGAATATGTCTACCCATCAGCTTTTAAAATTAAAAAAAGATAAACAGCTACTTAAAAACTACTACAGATGGGCTGGGATTATAACTCAGTGGTAGTGTGCATGCCTAGCATATGTGGGGCACTGGGTTCGATTCTCAGCACTGCATATAGATAAATTAAAGAAAGGTCCATCAAGAACTAAAAAGAATTTTAAAAATAATTACAATAGGTAAACTGGGTTCTATTCATTCAGCAAACATTTACTGAAATAAATATAACTTTAGTGAATAAAATAAAAAAAGATGACTAAGACTAGCCTTTGGAGAAACAGCTGTGTAAGCAATTATAAAATTTGAAGAGAATTAAGTACTCTGTTAAAATATAACTCAGGTAATATTCATCAAAAGAAAAAAATATTTGTGGAGATATTTTGATATTTGATATTCCTCAAAGAAATTATATTTGTACTGAATTGATTCAATTTCCTGGCAAAGAATGTGAGGAAATGATATTTCCTTTGTAGAGAATGATATTTTAAAATTTGTACAAATGCGAAAGTATATATTCTACTTCAGAAACAACCAATTGTCCTGTGTGAATGAAATAGGGAATATTTTGGATAGGAGATGGAACCAAGAATTACTGCTTGCTAACTCAAAAGGAAGGCCTTAAGCCAGGCGTGGGAGCTTAGCCTAGAATCCCAGTGACTTGGGAGGCAGAGTCAGAAGGATGGTGAATTCAAAGCCAGCCTCAGAACTTTGTGAGGCCCTAAGCAACTCAGCAAGACCTTGTTTCTAAATAAAATATAAAAGAGGGTTAGGTGAAGGACTTAAAAACAGCATACTAAAGTGACACAGCTGTTTATAGCAGCACAATTCACAATAGATAAACTGTGGAACCAACCTAGATGCGTTTCAATAGATGAATGGATAGGGAAACTTTTGTGTATATATACACAATAGAACATTACTCAGCATTAAAAGAGAATAAAATCATGGCATTTGCAGGTAAATGGATGAAGTTGGAGAATACAATGCTAAGTGAAGCAAGCCAATCCCAGAAAACCAAAGGCCGAATGTTTCCTTTGATATGAGGATGCTGACTCATAATGGCGATGGGGGGGGGGGGGAAGCAAGGGAGGAATGAAGAAACTTTTGATAGGTCAAAGGGGAGGGAAGGGAAGGCAGGGGGTAAGGCAGTAGGAATGATGGTGGAATGAGTTAGACATCATTAACCTTAAGTACAATATGAAGACACAACTGGTCTGGAAATACTTTGTGTACAATCAGTGACTTGAAAAATTGTGCTCTAAATGTATAATATGAAATGAATTGCATTCTGCCATCATATATAACAACTTAGAATAAATAAATAATTTAATTTTTAAAAGTGGGCTGGGGATGTGGCTCAGTGGTCAAGCTCCCCTGGGTTCAATCCCCGGTAACAAACAGGGAAAAAAAAAGGAAGACCTTAAATGTAGTGCTATGAAGTTTATCTTGATTCTATGAGTAGGAATGAGACATTAAAGGAGAATTATTTCTTTTTTTTAATATATCTTTTTTTTTAAAGAGAGCGAGCGAGAGAGAATTTTTTAATATTTATTTTTTTTTTAGTTATTGGCGGACACAACATCTTTGTTTGTGTTTGTATGCTGTGCTGAGGATCGAACCCGGGCTGCACTCATGTGAGGTGAGCGCGCTACTGCTTGAGCCACATCCCCAGCCCCTAAGGGTTGTTTTTTTGTTTTTAATCTTATTTTTTTTTTTGGTGGGGTTTTTTTTTTTTTTTTTTTTTTTTTTTGGAACTGGGAGTCGAACCCAGGGCTTTGCGAATGCAAGGCAGACGCTTTGCCACTGAGCTACATCCCAGCCCAATGGAGAATTATTTCAACTCTTCATTATGACCAAATTAGGCAGGATAAAGGAAAGTTGGTATGGGGGCACACACCTGTAATCATAGCAATTCAGGAGGCTGAGGCAGGAAGATTACAAATTTGAGACCAGCCTGCTCAACTGAGTGAGACCCTTTTTCAAAATAAAAGACAAAAAGGGCTTGGGTTATAGCTTAGTAGCTTAGTAGTAGCACCACCTTGGGTTCAATCCCCAAAGTCTCAAAAAAAAAAAACAACAGTTGGGGGGGTGGGAGAGAGAGTAAAGGAAATTGAAAAGAGGGAGAAAAAGAAAGACATCGAAACAAAGATAAAAGATTCAGTAAATATTCATTGCGTACCTAACATACTATATTAGGTGTTGATATATCTATCCATATTTATATCCTTGATTCAGTTGACAAAGCAAGATCCTTATTTTCATGGAGCTTATATTCTAGTGGAAGATATAGACAATAAACCAGTAAACAAATAAATTTATGAAAGGTCCAATAGTATCAAAGAAAACATGTTCAAACAGAGTAAGGAAATAGGAAATAATGTGGGAGAGAGGTAGATCATTAAAAATGAATAGAATTTTGAAAAGACACCAGAAAGCAATGAGGGGAATTTAGCCATGTAAACGTCAGGGGACAGTGTCTGCCAGAGAGAACAGCAAGTGCAAAGGCCTTCTTACAGATGAAATGCCTGCAGTGCTTGAGAAACATCCTGGAGGCCAGGGTGGTTTTGAATTGTATTTTTAAAAAGTCACCCTGGCCCTTGTCCATGTTCCATTTCACATATGTGTGATCTGTAAGATTAATTCCTGGATGTAGGTTACAGGGAAAATAATTTATCACTTCAATAGAAAATTTCCATCTAGTCTCCAATTCCACCAACCATATTTGAGAGGCCTATTTATTCAGGATCTTACTTACACAGAGTGAAGCTTTGGGGAATTGGACACTGTTTATTGGTCAGAAGCCACAAAATCAAGATGATGACATGGTTGCTGTCCTGGAGACTCTTGGAGAAACCCATTTCCTTGCCTTTTCTAGTTTCAACCTTCATTCCTTGGCCCATGTTCCCATCCTCCATCTTTGGATCCAGCAACATAGCATCTATCAGTCTCCTTCCTTTCATTATGTCACCTAATATTATTCTGACTCTGATGCCTCCTTCTTATATTGACCTTGTGATTGTATTTCACCCACTCAGTTAATTTTCCATCTCAAAATCCTGAATTTAAATCCTTATCCTGAATCTAATCACATCTGCAATGTCCCTTTAGCCATGTACAACAACATTCCTAGGTACCAGGGATAAGAGTGTGGACATCTTTATGAAGGAGGGAGATTTATCGGCTGTTTCTTTGATAATCTTCTAACCTTGCAGAAGGTTGTATAGTTGTTTGTTTGGTTTTGGTTTTGCCATTTGGAGTTTATCCTAGTAAATGGTATAAAATGCAGATTAGACTTTATTTTTTCCAGATAGCTTTTTATAGTAAATGATACCTACCCCACCCATTTACTGAGAAGTCCAACTTTTCCCTAAAATATAGTGAATTCCTATATATAATTTGGTTGCTTTCTGAAGCTTCTATTTTGTTCCATTGTCCGTGTGTCTAAAAAGTACATGTTTTTTAAATTACAGAAGGTTTTTAGTATGTCACAGTATCTAGTAGGACTAGACAAAATTTGCTCTTCCTTTCCACCCTTCCCCCATGCATACATATAGTACCTTGCTCTTCTGTTCTCAAGGTTTTCCCTGCCATTTTTGTTTGCTTATTTTTTTCTACATGAACTTTAGAATCAACTTGCCTGATTTGGGGTATTGTGGAGATTGTTAGTTTCATTGGAGAAGTATGAGGTTAGTTAGCTCTTACTGTCTTTGAACATYATCTGTCTTTACAGTCATTCAAGTTACTTTCCCCACTCCAAGTACTGGAGATTGAACTTGGCATTTTACCACTGAAGTATATCCCTGTATCCCTGTATCCCTGCCCCTCCCCCTTTTTTATTGARACAGGGTCTCTAAGTTGCTGAGGTTGGCCTTGAACTTGCAATTCTCCTGTCTTAGCCTCTAGCTGGAATTACAGGTGTATGTCACAGCACCTAGCTCAAGTCACTTTTGTTCCTTCAGTAGTATTGTAACATTTTCTTCATAACAATTTTGTACATTTTAAGTTTATTCCCAGCTTTTTAATCTTTCTTTTTGTATAATGGAAGAGAAGATACTGTTTGTAATACTCTCTGATTAGTTTTTATGTATGAGATCTATGGTTAATACACTTATTATGTTAATTACAAATTATTAATTTTAACACTGCTCCCTTACTCAATTATCTTGTTTGTAGTAGTTTTTAGTTGAGCCTCTCGGTTTTCCCATTGCAGTTTATATTGTCTTCAAATAGCAATAAACTCTTCCCTGCTAATCTTTATACATCTGTCTTTCTCTGTCTCTTTCATTACATTGTTAAACAGCAGCGGTGTTGTGCATCTCTGTCTTATTCCTGATGTTAGTGAGGAAGGCTCCTATTTCCCCATAAGTATTTGCTGGTTTTGGGCTTATACACACACGCACACACAATCCCCATCATGTTAAAAGAAATACACATCAGTTCCTACTTTATTCGTTTTTCGTACCCCCTGGATTAAATCCCCAGTACTAGGGATTGAACTCAGGAGCACTCGACTACTGAGCCATATCCCCAGTCCTATTTCGTATTTTATTTAGTGGATAAGAATAGGAGTTGAATTTTATCAAGTGCCTCTTTAGTGTGAATGGAAAAATACTGTGGTTTACATACTACTACATATTAACTTTTCATATATTAAAATACATTCTCAGGCCAGTCGTGGTGGCTCATACTTATAATCCCATCAACTGAGGAAACTGAGGCATGAGAAGGCAAGTTTAAGGCCAACCTCAGAAAATGAGTGAGGCCCTAAGCAACTTAGTGAGACAGTAAGCAACTTAGTGAGACACTATAAAATCAAGATTTGGCATCTTTTAGTTCTGTTTTGTTGCATTCACCAGTTTTGAATAGCTCTTTTCCTAACTCTTTTATTCATCAAAAACAGAAACAATTAAGTTACTCCTAAAATGCTTTTAATCTTGTCTTTTGTTACATTTTAGGAAAATTATATCACAGATGATATTGGAATATCAACTTGGAAGGAGCAGACTTTTCTCTCCCATGGTGCCTTACTAGCAAAGAGCTGCCAAGCTGCGATGGAATTAGCAAAGCATGATGCTGAGGTTCAGGATATGGCATTTCAGTATGGAAAGCACATGGCCATGAGTCATAAGGTATTTGCACACCCTTTATCTTTTGCCATACTTAAGTAGCTAAAGTGATATACAAAAAAACCTTTTGCCATTTAATAAGCTACTTTTATATGTCAAAAAATGTTTGTATGCTCAAAATCTGTCAGTCATAGATGGTGATTGTATAGTATAAACAGTATGATTGTTAAGTACTATATAATTTTGACAGAAGTCCACAGTTTACTTAAGCCATGTTGTTTGTTTGTTTTTGTTTGGTGTTTTTTGTTTTGTTTTGTTTTGTTTTTGTTTTTTGTTTAGTACTGGGGATTTAATCCAGGGACAATTTACCACTTAGCTATATCCCCAACCCTTTTTATTTTTTTATTTTGAAATAGTCTCACTAAGTTGTTTAGGGTCTTGCTAAGTTGATGAGGTTAGCCTTGAATTTGCAATCCTTCTGTTTCAGCCTTCCAAAGGCCATATTTTTGATGTTTGTCTTTTCTTTCCACCTGAAAGGGTTTTTTTTTTTTGGGGGGGGGGGGACAGGAGGGACTAGAGATTGAATTTAGGGGCACTTGACCACTGAGCCACATCCCCAGTCCTATTTTGTATTTTATTTAGAGACAGGGTCTCACTGAGTTGCTTAGCACCTCACTTTCTCTAAGGCTGGCTTTGAACCTGTGATCTCCTGCCTCAGCCTCCCAAGCCACTGGGATTTTACAGGCATGTGCCACCATGCCCAGCTGAAAGGGTTCTTGAGAGAACTCTTAAAATTATTAAATAACATATAATATTCCCATTGACAGAATGGGAGAATATTTGTTTGTTTGTTTGTTTTTAAGAAATATTTATTTATTTTTTTAGGTGTAGATGGACACAACACAATGCCTTTATTTTTATGTAGTGCTGAGGATCTAACCCGGGTCCTGCCGGTACGAGACGAGCGCTCTACCGCTGAGCCACAATCCCAGCCCGATATTTGTTATTTTTTATACCATTGCATTATAGCTCCTTATGTAAAATAAATTATGGGAAGTTATAAAATATGCTGAATAAAACTGAAAGCTTCAATTTTAACTGCTGATTCTCTTAAATGGCATATGTATATCTCAAATAGCCTAAAACTAGCTATTTATTTCTTTCATATATATGAATGATTTAAAATTTTCATTTAGTATATATTTTTAGGTGTTAAATAGCTCATAAAAGGGAGGGGGGAAATATATATATATTTATATATCTTCCAGATGAGATTTTTTGCATATTTTATTAAATGTAATTTATTAAATAATTATATTTATTAAACCTTTATCTAAATCCTTCCTTTTAACTTAATTAAAATAAAGGTTGCTACCAAATAAAAAAGAAATAAGACTGGGTGTAATGATGCACACTTGAAAACCAGCTGCAAGGGAGACTGAGACAAAAAAGGAAAAAATGAATGGGACTTAGGATGTAGTTCAATGGTAGAGCATGGACACACCATTCGAAGGCCCTGGGTTTGATCCCCAGCACCACCAAAAAAAAAAAAAAAAAAAAAGTATTAATGGAGAAAATTAATTAATTCTAAAGAATTGTAAAGGTTAATGTTAATAATCCAAAATGCTCTTTTGCTTATTAAAGCTTACTAATGTGCATCTTAAAACTTCATTTTACTGCATTACTGGTGCTTTCTGAGTATGACTAAAACATACTATTATGTATACATTTTACTGATAGAACTATTTTAACTACTCCTTTTAGATAAATTCTGACCTCCAGCCTTTTATTAAAGAAAAGACCAGTGACTGTGTGACTTTTCATCTAAACTCAGCTCCAGTAGTTTTACATCAGGAGTTTCTTGGAAGAGATTTGTGGATTAAGCAGATCAAAGAGGTAAAGTAAGATTTTTCCTATTTTAGGTACTGTTAGTACTTAGTTGATTTTAGAACATAATATCTATTTCACGATGATTTAAGGGTATAGATCAGCCATAAAGGAGCATATTTATTTAACAGACAAAACTCTTTCTTTATAATCTACATTTTTAAAAGGTAAAATATTAGTTAAAAGTTAGAGACTGCACTCTTGTGTTCTCTTATTATCTGAGTTCTTCCAGTACTGCAGTACAACACTAGTGCCTGTGGCGAATGCTAATTAACGCAGGGGATATTTTTTTCTAAAGGCTTCAGAAATCGGGCTATGGTAATAGCACCACCCTTTAGCTGACAGCAATTTCCCATCTGTGGACTCTAGCGCAAGCTGCAGAATTCCAGGAGCTCCGTCTGTCAGCTCATTGGGTTATTTTAAAACAAACTTGGACCCTGAACACTTGTTCTAAGGCATTATCAAAGAAAAAACAGCATGATGAAGTGGGAAGGGTAAAGGCGTTTGAATTAGGTAAATTTCATATATTTTGGGAGGGTCTGAGGATGTCAAATATGAGGAAATTTTTTGGTTTTATTTTAATTCAGAAACTCTGGTGCAGAAGTTCTTGCTTTTTTATCCAAAGTCTCAAGGAATTTATTTAACTTCATGGTTGTAATGGGTTGGATTAATCTGAGGCCCTGACTAGGAAACCAGGCACAGCCTGAGGGTGGGGAAAGTGGGGGTAGCTGCCATATTTATAGCAGAGAGCCTACATGAATATCTGCATTCTGAAAGATAACATTTCCTCTCCCTCAATCGTCTTTCTGCATGGACTCTCAAAATGCTGGCCGCCAGCTTAAAATCCCTCATATTTACCAGGTAGAAAATTGGGAGTCATTTCTTAGGAAACTGTCGAATTCTGGAGAAAAGATCTGCAGATGAGTGTGTTTGGGGTCCTCTCAGTAAACATGCATAACCACAAGCTTCCCTATAGCCATCCCCTACCAAGTGACAAGCCTCAGTGTATCCACATGAACAGAATCTCCAGCTGCCTCACTTGAAGCAGCTTGAAGTAACATAGGACCACAGGACATTGAGAAAAGACTCTTCTGTAAGAAAAAGTCAAAAGCAAACCAATGAAAAGGGAACCCAGAGGAAACAAAAAATATGAGGAAAGAAAGACATTTCTGTAAACACTTAATAGTATGCTTAGCAAGATGTTAAACCCATGAAACAAAAACAGGTAACATATAGAAAAAGATATAGAAAAGGACAACCCAGCCTGGCACATTGGCACACACCTATATAATCCCAGCCCACTTGGGAAATTGAGGCAGAAGGATTGAAAGTTTGAGGCCAGCCTAGGCAACCTAGCAAGCCCCTGTCTGAAAAAAAAAAAAAAAGAATGGGGATGTGGTTCAGAGGTAGAGTGCTCTGGAGTATAATCCCCAGTGCCCAAAAAACAGACATCCTCAAAACAAGAAATCAAAATTTAAAAATATAATTTCAGGGTTTTTTTTTTTTTTTTTTTTTTGCGGGGGGCGGGGGGAGAAACCGGGGGTTGGCTACCGGGGAATGAACTCTGGGCACTCAGTCACTAAGCCACATCTCTAGTCCTATTTTGTATTTCATTTAGAAACAGGGTCTCACTGAGTTGCTTAGTGCCTCACTTTCATTGAAGCTGGCTTTGAACTCAAAATCCTTCTACCTCCCCTGCCTAAGTCACTGGGATTTTAGGGGTGCGCTACCACGCCCAGCAAGATTTTTTTTTTTTTATCAGAAGGAACATGAAAGACACAAATGAGAAAACCTTTCTGAAAAGTGAGCAAAATAAAAAAATATGAAAATAAGAAAACTCTTTCAGGAAATCTTACATGATCTTGCATATATTAAGAGTCTCAGGGAGGACTGGAGTTGTGGCTCAGTGACAGAGCGTTTGCCTACCATGTGTGAAGCACTGGATTTGATTCTCAGCACTGCATATAAATAAATAAAATAAAGGTCCATTGACAATTAAAAAAATGTTTTTAAAAAAAGAGTCTCAGAGAAAACTGAAAATGGAGGTGAGAAAATTAATCAAATTTTCGGGGCTGGGGTTGTGACTCAGTGGTGGAGTGCTCACCTTGCATGCATGCAGCACTGGATTCGATCCTCAGCACCACATATAAACAAAGATGTTGTGTCCGCTGAAAACTACAAAAATAAATAAATATTTAAATTTTTTTTTTTTWAAAAAAGAATGGTATCTCAGTTGTAACACTGAAACCTTCAAGACAGTGAAATAATATCTTCAAAACTCAATGAAAAAGTTGGGTGCAGTGGTGCACACCTGTAATCCCAGTGACTTGGGAGGTTGAGGCAAGAGAAGGATTGCAAGTTTGAAACCAGCCTCAGCAACTTAGCAAGGCCCTATCTCAAAATAAAAAATAAAAAGGGCTGGGGAGTGACTCAGTGGTAAAGTCTCTATGGATTCAATCTCCAATACAAAAAAAAAAAAAATCTAAAAAGGAAATTTCAATTTATAATTTTGTGCCAGCCATGTCATCTTCAAGTATGATATGAAGACTTTTTAAACTCATCTACAAGATTCCAAAAAACTTACCTTTCATGCACCTTTGTTTCAGGGAGCAGGTGAGTATTCCATAAAGCCAGGGGAGTAACCAAGACAGAGAAAAAGCCAAGGAGTGTAGGAACTATGGGATTAGACATATGCATAAGGCCTGAGAATTACCAGGACAATGTAAAAAGAAGAGTTACAAATAATAATAAGGCCAACAATAATAGCACTTACTGTAAATCAAGCACTGGTCTAATGAATAATCTGAAGTAGAGAGATTAAGTAATTTGCACACACTCTTACAACCAGCAATTGGTGAATCCTAGGCAGCCAGCTATAAAATCTGCATTCTTAAGTAATGTGCTGCCCTGTCATTCCAGCAAGTCCTAGGCTGATGGCTATATACCCAGTCTACACTGGGACAAGAGGACAGAGATCTCCTGGAGAAATATCTTAAAGGAAAAAAAAAATGGAACTGATAGGTCACCCAATGTGATTGATCATATTGCAAATCAGGGATGAATTAATTATAAATACATAGAAAATTAAATGTTCAGCCTGGCATGGTGGCAAATGCCTATGATCCCAGCAGCTCGGGAGGCTGAGGCAGGAGGATTGGATTGTGAGTTCAAACCCAGCAAAACCCTAAGCAACTTAGTGAGACCCTGTCTCTAAATAAAACATAAAAAGGGCTGTGAATGTGGCACAGTAAATAAGTATCCCTGGGTTCAATCCCTGAAAAAGAAAGAGAGAAAAGAAGAGGTAGAGATGGTGAGGGAGGAGGGGAAGGGGAGGGAAGGAAGGAAAACTAGAACAAAACTTAGCTACCTACAATAACCATTTTATTTTGTTTGTGGATTCTGGGAGTTGTGAATTTGGGCATAGCACACTGGAATGACTTGGCTCTGCTCCATGATATCTGGAGCCTTAGCTGGAAAAATTCAGGTGCTGGAGGTAACAACAATGCTGGGGACTAAAATCATCTAGAAGCTCTTTCACTCATAAATGGTACCTAAGCTGAGCTGCCTAAAAAATTAAACTGCTAACCATCCAGAATGCTCATGCATGACCCTTCTTCCACTTAGTTTGGCTTCCTCACAGCATGGCAGCCTAAGAATAGTGGAATGTTCAGAACTGTAAACAGATATTCTACCATGTAAGGCAGAGAGGCTGCATCTTCCTTATGACCAGCCTCAAAAGTCAGTGCCATTTCCATGATCTCTTATCAAGACATGGATAAGCTTACCCAGAATCAAGTGAGAAATCATAGACCTCACCTCTTTATATAGCAAGAATGTCAAAGAATTTGGAGGTCATGTTTTAAAACAGACATACTGTATATGTATAGAATAAAATGAAATAATTGTATAGAATAAAATGAAATGATTATTAGATGTAGTGAAAAATTAAAAATGTATAAGAAAATGTAATCATAATATTCTATATAGCTAAGATAATAATATTTATAATAGCATAAAATATAAAACCTGGATATTTTAAGTAATAAATGAATTTAATTTATAAAATGAAGCAAATGCCTTTTGGAATTGGGAAACATTTCCAATTTTATTCATAAAATTGTTAATCAAAATTGCAAAAGTAGATTCATTGAGCCAAAATGAAAGGGAAATGAAACATTCCAGAGACATCTTGAAAGTTCCAAGGAACACATGCTAGGCTAGAAGCCTTTAGTTAACCCATGATTGCACAACAGGTTACATTCATTTTTGCTTTTTCTCAATAAGTGATTCCTTATATTTGCTTTTCTTGAAGCTTATTGAGTCTTGGCTTTGAATTCAAGAACTTTTCCCAGTCTTCATCCAGTTTTAGCCTGGTGATAATCACCCTGCTCGGTGCATGCTCATGTGGACATTTATGTCTGTAGCCTTCTCACACTGTGTGCCTCAATGTAGATGACATAGTTTTTCCTGTACATGTGGACTACCTTGTCAATTTGTTGACCTTTGTAGTGTCCTCAAACCACCCAGATCTTGCCGTCCTTACAGATGGGCAGGAATGGACACTGTACTTTTGCCACAGCTCCTTAGGGAGAAGGGAAAACATGCTCTTCCTGCACAAGTGCAAAGGGACATTGAAGTGCCTTTTGTGGTTTTTGCTGCAGTCCAAGGTCATGAAGAGGTTGAACTTCATGGTGACTATCTGGCGCCAGTTGGGCTCCTAAATACTGAATATTGATTTAACCAATATTAAACCAATTGAATCCAACCAGTTGAGTGGAAGGAAGATAGAAAAAGAGTGTTTGGTCATGTAAGAGATCTAAATATTCCATTCATGTAGAATCAATAGATGTTGAAATTTTAAAATTAAAAAGACAATATTTGAAGATAAATAGCAGAACAACTAGCTGAAGTAAAGGATATGGATAGACAGAGGGGGTCTAGAGGCTACTATGTTGATTTCTTAGAAGTCTTGTCCTGCTTGACCTTTTTAGTATCCTTTTTGGGATTTG